AAAGAAGCCGCTGCAGGCAGAGAACAATTCAAAGGACAGATTGGATTGAGGATATTGGGCAAGATGAAGTAAATCATGTGGAAGCCATAACGGCGAAAGAGGTTAGAACAAATGTACAAGATATGAAAAATTGGAAAACTCTGGGGCCAGGAAACATGCCTATCGAGCTAGTCAAATGTACGCCAAAGATCGTGATGGAAATTCTAGCAGATATATACGATCTGTTACTAAGAGGCCACACTATATCTGCAGACTGGAATATCTCACACATAAGTTTCATCCACAAAAAATTCAACTTTTGGATACTATACAGCAATAAGTGCATGTGACTAGTTCTTTGGGAAGGTTGTACGGCAGTATTTTAAAAAGAAGGAATGAAATGAAATTTCCAGACATAGAAGGCTTATTTCGTGCGGGACATTTATGCATGGATCGCACTTTCACATAGAAAAAAGGAAAGCTCGAAATCTGTCCACACACCTAATATTTGTTGCTCTCGAACCTACGATACAGTGCTTTTGAGAAAACCCGCAAAGTATAGTAAAAGTAGGAAATCAAGCTTCCGAAAACTTTAAAATTACGAAAGGACTGGAGCAAGGTTGCTGTTTATCACCTATACTGTTCAAGATTTACATTCAGGAAGCCTTGAAGAACTGAAGAAATAAGTGCTCTGATATGGGAATAGAAGTGGGAGAACATCACTTACTTGTCCACACTATTCTTTGCAGACGATCAGGTGGTAATGGCTAGCTGTGAAGAGGCCTTGGATTACATGTATAGAAAACTTATAAGAACGAATATTAACAGTGGGGAATGGAAACAAACCAAAGCAAGACACAATATTTTTGTATTAAAGATGATAATAAAGATCCGGATCAAAGTTTAAGATATCTGAAAAAGTGTGAGGAGTATAAATATTTACTTGGGAAGCTTGATATCAACAGTGGGAACATCAGAGCGAGGTATAGAAAACAGTAACACAAGGTAAAAAATGCCTTAACATCCTAAATTCTCTACTCTGGAGTAGTGAGATTTCTATAGAAACAAAAAAGACAATCTACGGAGCAATAATTGTAGAGCCGGATATTGACGTACGGAGCAGAATGCTGGCAGCTATCGGAACGAAATAAAAGGAATGTAGATGCAGTGGAAACAACTTAAGACTGGAGCATATGCAGAACGCTGGAATTCGAAGAAGAGCAGAAATAATATATAGAGCCACCGAAAGAATAGACACCCGAAAGCTCATGTGGTATGAGCATGTTATGAGAAGAGAGGAGAGATCGCCAAAGAGAGCATTGATGTACGTTCCATGGAACAGGAGGAAGAGAGGAAGACTGGCGCTAACATGGATAGATAACATTTGAAAAAATATGAATTATATAGAGCGATAGGCGAGGAAGAATGGAGAGACCTTAAAAAAAGGCAATCGAAATGCGGGATGCGGCAGAAGGCTGTATCCATACTTGTCACAAACAAATCGTTCTCGTATGTGATAAAAAAAAGATAAGAACAAATACAAACTCACTCCCCGTTTTCCCAAACCTCACATTTCGAATTCAGGCAGATACCCTAAAAGGGAAAACAAATATGTACAGGGTGATCCAGTATAAAGTGAACACCCCCTACCTTTTCGATCAAATTTTTTTTTTTCCAAAAATCAAGATAGCCATTAGGTGTATTTTTTTTCTAGGAATTTGGAAACGTTTTCCGAAATTTAATTAAATTTTTCGTTGAAGCGCTGCGACCAAAAAAGTAATTTTTTCAAATGAAATAACCTATATTTAAATCCATTTCTTAAACGCCCCTATTTTTCTCATTTCAAATATATAGTTTGTTTATCTTTATTTAAGTAATTTGCGATATATTTTCACTCAAGATTCAAATAAAAATAGCCGAAAATAAGGTATCAAGGTAAATCCTATTAATTTTACCTTTAATAAAACTACTGGTTATTATGTTTTATGCTACCTTTTCGGCTATTTTTATGTGAACTTGAGTGAAAATATATCGCAAATTACTAGATTAAAGATGAACAAACTATATATTTGTAATGAGAAAAATAGGGGCGTTAAAAAAATTGATTTAAATATAGGTTATTCCATTTAAAAAAAATACTTTTTTGGTCACAGCGCTTCTACGAAAAATGTAATTAAATTTCGAAGAATGTTTTCAAATTCTTAGAAAAAAAATACACCAAATGGCTATCTTGATTTTTGTAAAAAAAAAATTTTGATCGAAAAGGTAGGGGGTGTTCACTTTATACTGGATCACCCTGTACATATATACCATACCTATATAAATTACTTCCGCTCATAGACTAAATCGAATTATTCTTTTGCGAAAAGCGCATGTCACAATAAGATAAGATAAAGGAAAAAACTCTGGAAAATTTTCCTGGATTTAGATGCTTTATGAATGCTTTTATCAAAGTGGTATTATTGTGTCATAAAAAGTGAGAGATATATTTCTATTTACCTATTATTTTTATGGTGAAGATACTGAGTTTGGTGAGTGTAAAAATAATCCAGCATTTATAGAAAAATACTGATTAGTCTATTGTCTTAAGATTTTAATCAACATATTGTTTATTTGCATCCTTGTCATCCTTATTCTTATCAAATCAATAATATTTTAATCCGGGTACGTAACCTTACACCCACTTTAGAACGATAATAATTGTTCTTAGCTTAGCTCGAAAAGATAAGTACCTATTTTCATTATTCAAGCGTCATAATTAATAATTTCGAAATTGATTATTTCAATGTACAAACATACGTGAGTAATAAATACTTATTTAGCAGACACCGTTAAGGCTGTTCATTGCCAATAGTGCTATTTTTATTATCGCTCTTGTTGTGTTGGTGGCCTTAAATCGGACTCTTAATTGTAAAATTATATAAGTTTTATGAATACAAATCAAAGAATAGTCGGGGAAATTTTGCAATTTCGTCACACTGCGGAATTTGCTTGTACAGTTCTACAGTTGTAGAAATGCATATTTCACATAATCAATATCAATTTTGATAGTGATAATATATATGTTCGGATTTAGGAAATATGCTGTAAGTTGCCTGATCTTTAAAATGACAAAAATTGGATTGCAAATCCTTATTTCTTAATATTTAGCTTCAATTTCTCATTACATTGTAAGTACTCAAACTCAATGCAAAAGTCATATTTTTTATTTAAACGGTACATACTTATAAAATGCTAAGTATTTCTTTATTATTTCATATATGCATATCGTATTCATAAATGAAAGTTTTCCGCTGACTGACGGAAATATAAATAGTAATAATAATAGAGGACGTAATTTCCGTTTCATTCAAATTGTAAAAACTACAAAGTTTATAGACAAAAATATGATTTTCAGTGCAAATTCAGCCACTATAACAACGCATTGTTGAATGTTTGAAGAAAATTTCATTTCATAAAGATTGTACAATAATTATTATTGAAAGGTCATCCTTTTTTCATTTAACAAAACATCCTTCGTTTTGAATGTGACCTCAAGGATTCTCCCACAAATCTTTATTGTTCTTATTCAACCATTACTTGCCTGTATTTATGCGGCTTTCAATTACATTTTTGCATCCTAATTGTTTTGCGCAAAAGTCAATATACCTACCTGTTTCATGGTAATTTGAAGGTACAGGGTACATAGTATAAACAACTTATACCTTATTATAGTGGAAAGGTTGTATGGCTTATTTATATTAATAATAGTTGTTGTAATATACCTAGTAACTAACAATTATATGCAATCATATTTTTTAATATTCAGTTTCATTAATTAATGTATTGCTAAATATGTAGAACACGTGAGTACCTTAGTACCTACCTACTTGAAGTACAAGTAGAAGTAGGTACTTTTTTATGCATAGTATTCGAGAAAATTTCTTGCAATGTTGCAATAACTGAGCATGTTCCAAACAGCCATAACGAAATATGGGTTTTAAAACCTCATCTTCTGCGCCTCTTGGCCTTCCATATCCTCACCAGGTGGCTGGTTTCTTCCTCTTTCGAGGGGTTTCGATAAACCATTTTAGACATGAAAAGAACATTCCTCAAAATTATTCACCCAGACATTTAGCTTTTTAATGTCCATCAACACATTCATACGTGTGGCATGAATAAAAACGAAGTAGTTGCTACTACTACAAGTAGTATAGTATATTCTACGAAGTATTTACTTCACAATGAATGATTCACTAGTTTCCGGAAGTTTCGAAATGTAGTATCTACTTCATTTTCAAGTAAATACTACGGAGAACATACTACTACTTGTTGGAGATAGTTTAGCACGTATGAACAAAGTACTCAGATTGAAGCCTTCCTTTTTGATGCTGAACTCTGAACTCAATCTTCAAGATTGAGAATTCATCATAATTTGTATTCTGCTTTTTCCAGAACGTTATACTTAATACAGCTCTAATTAGCGCAGATTATCTGAAACTAGCCAATATCACATTAGTTATATCAACTAAATCCGATACATTTCAATTAAGTTGATTTGGAATCCCCACTCGTTTGTATGTATGCAATATTAACTAGGCGCCACCTACGTTCCACTAAATATATCACCCTCACAATAAATAAGTAGGTTTACTTTACATCTTAAATAAGTGATTATTTCACATGATATATACTGTTAATAATATAACTGTGTACTTTGTAACACTCTGTAAAGTAACTTCTTTAATTTATTTATAACGCAATGACGTTATTATTTATAACCTTATTGCACTCGTCATTAACCTTGAACGGGGCCTCATGATTCCCTACCGTAATAACACACTAATTGTATTAATTGCGACCAGAAAAAAAATCCTAGTTTGTTATTTCTGACGTTCATTTGAGATCATCAATTATTGAAGAATAAGGATCTTCATTTACCTTAGAAAGAATAGATATTACTTCATTAAATTCCTTGGTAATAACTGAACGATGATGTAATTTATATTGTTTTGTTTTTAATATAAAGTTTTTTTTTTCAGGTTGCCAAAAAATGGAATATAACAGATCCTGTGTACAAACCCAAAGGTCTGTCGCATTCGCCTTCGTTGCGAGCCATAAGGAACTACAACGACTTACCGATTGACAGGAGTTCGGGTGAAGGCGTCGACAATCCCGGGTTCGAATCCGATTATAAATATGAATACTATACTTATCCTGGACCAGGCTATAGGTAAGCTAGAAGAGTCAATTAATTTGTTTTTGAACCATTTTTTTCCTTGATGTTCCTAAATAAATACAATTATCGAGCAAATAATTATTCGTCTGACAACAGTATAATTTTTGAGATTAGACCAATAATATGTTTTTCGGATTTTCATTAATTTCTCGATCATTTGTTTTTCCTTGGTTGATAAGCCTCGATTTAATCGTCTTGCCTTCTCTTACTTTCAATGTCTCCTATATACATCTATATATAATTATCGGTTTATAACGTTCTACGTCTTCCAATTCCCGATCTCCAACTATCTCTGTCAATCCAGGCATCCTCCTCCAAGTCTCTGTCTCTCATTTCTTCGTCCACTCCACTTCTCCAGCTTCTTCTTGGTCTGCCGCGTCTTCTTCTTCCCCCTGGCTTCGTGGCTTCCCCTCAATAATTTGCTTGGTTATTCTTGTATCTGCATCTGCCAAATCAGCTGTTTGTCCTTTATATCATCTACTATTGTGTGTTTTACGTCCATAATCTCCCTAATTCTCAGATTTGTTATCCTTTCCATTTTTGACCTGCCTGCCGATCTCCTCCAAAAGTCCATTTCAGTTGCTTCCAGTATTTTTGCGGTTCTGTTCTTCAATGGCCAGACTTCTGAACTATATGTGGCGATGCTTTTGGCTAGGGTGTTGTATATTCTAGTTTTGTTATTTTTGTTGATATTTTGGTCCCACAGTACACCATAGGGATATTGCCTTGCATCCTTGTATATTTCGATTCCGATCTTTAATTGCTTCGTCCTTCGTCTAGGGTTCCCTCTTGTGAGATTTTCATGCCCAAATATTTGTATTCAGTACATTGTTTTATTTCTTGTCCGTTATTCAATTTCAGAGTTCGTAGTTCACCTCCAATAGTCATATATTCTGTTTTAGTTACATTTATTTCCAAACCCCATTTCTCGTATTCTTCTATCAATTTTCGTGTCATGTCCTCTAGGTCATCATAGTCCTGTGCAATTAATACTTGATCATCTGCAAAGCTTAAAGTATATAGACTGTATTCATTGAGCGGTTTTCCCATGTGTCTGCATTTATTTTTCCATCCCTTAAGCGCTTGTTCTAAGTATATTTTAAAAAGTGTTGGTGATATGCAGCATTCCTGTTTAAGTCCTTAAGTTGCTAGAAAGCCTTTACTGATTATGTTTCCCTGTTTAATCTTGGTCTTCGCATCACTATAGAGCGTTTTTACTGCCTTTATCAGTTCTAAGTTGATATTGGTCTTTTCCAGTGCTTCCCAAAGCTTTTTCAGCGGAACATTGTCAAATGCTCTCTTTAGATTTACAAAGAGTAAATGGAGTTCTTGGTTATACGCTAGTTTCTTTTCCATTATCTGAGTCAAACTAAATAAATCGTCTACAGTTGATTTTCCTGCTCTAAAACCAGCCTGTTCTTCTGCCTCACTATCTTTGTACTCGTTCTCTATTCTGGCTTTTATGAGTTTTTCATACACTCTGCTCAGCGTATTTGTTACTGCAATTCCTCGGTGGTTCTCGCATTTGTTTCTGTCTCCCTTCTTATATATCGTTATTAAATAGCTAATTTTCTACTCTTCCGGTACTTTATGTTTATCTATGCATGTTTGAAATAGTTTTGTTAAATGTTTGTAGAGTTTATTGGTCCCATACTTTATCAGTTCTCCATATATTTCTCTTGGGCCTGGTGCCATAACGTTTTTCAAGAAGCTATAGTGTTTTTTAACTTCTTCTTATGTACCTAACTCCTATTGGTGATCCTGCGGTTTTTATGTTTCTTTTCTGTTCCTTTTCTTCTTTAAACTCTGCTCGCTGTTCTGTCAGCAATTCTTCTGTCAGCAATTCTTTAAAGTACTTTTCCCATTGCTGGGGTGTTATTGTTATTGTATTGATAATATCCTTGGTTTTTGTTTTCCTCATATTTTTTAGTAATTTCCAACTTTCTTTGTTTCTTTTACCTCCCAGATAAGTATTAATATGCGTACAGTCTCTTTCCTATGACTCGTTTTTTTTTTCTGTACTATTTTATTCCGTATTCTTGCTTGTGCTTTCTTATATATTTCTTTGTCTCGTGTCTTATTTGAACTTAGATACTGTTGGTATTTCTTCCTTTTATCTGCTATGCCTTTCTCTATTTCTTGGTCCCACCAATGAGGTGAGGGCCTTCTTCCATTTTTTTCGTATTTGCCTAGGGCTTCAAATGTTGCACTGTGAATACTCTCTTTGATATGGCGGTAATGAATTTCAAGTTTTTGGAAGTTCATACTACTCTGTATTTTGATCCAATCTCTTCATGTACAACCCCTTTACGCTTTGCTCTTCTAGAGATTTTAGGTTGTATTTCTCAGGCACAATATTGTCTTCTTGTTTTTTCATTCCGTTTTCTTTTGCGGTGTTTCTGCGCGGGATAAAGATTTCTGTTTTCAGGAGGTAGTGATCGCTACCACAGGTCGCTCCCCTATATGCTCTCACATCCTGGAATTTTATGTTCGAGCTCTGTTTTGCGATAGTGTAGTCAATAATCGATTTTTGTTGTCTAGCTTCATTTTTCCATGTGTACTTATGTATTTCTTTATGTTGAAAGTAACCGTTTAGGATTTTTAGGTTATTTTGTTGGCATATTGCTATGAGCCTTTCTCCATTGTTATTCGTTACATTCTCTCCAAATTTTCCGACTACCTTGTCGTTATTTTTCTTCCTGTTCGTCCGTTAAAGTCTCCCAGCAATATTATTTATTACAGTATCTGGGGGGTTGATTCTTGATAGGCGCTTTAACTTTCAGTAAACTGAATTACTCTAACACCCTCCTCGATTTGAAATGTTTTAAAAAATCAAAACAAATAAACTTAACATAAAAATCGTACTTGAAAACAGCTTATAAAAACTTCAAAGAAAATTTACAAAACACAAATCTTATCTCTAAGAAAATCGAAAATCTCTTTACCTAAAGATTTTGTCAGTATATCAGCTAGGTTTTGATCAGTTGATACATATTGAATGCTAATTTCTTAACCCAAAACCAAATCCTTCAAGTAAGTAATGATGTTTAATATCAATGTGCTTGGATCTTTTTGAATTCTCATTACTTTTGGACATCAGATTGAACTTTTGTTATCACAATAGAGAATTGTATTGCCAGAAATGTTAAAATCTTTCAAAATTCCCTTCAAATTAATCAAATCCTGAGCTGAAATTGATGCTGCCACATACTCTGCTTCTGCTGAAGATAACGCAACGCAACCTTGCTTTTTGGAAAACCAAAATACCGGATTCTGTCCATAAAGTATTATGCATCCACTGACACTCTTACGATCTTTTTTGTCTGTTCCCCAATCTGCATCTGAATATTCCTGTATATGTATGTCTGTATTTGAATTCTTGTGGTATGTGAGTCCCATTTCTTTTGTACCTTGTAGATAGCGTAGTACTCTTTTTCCTGCATTCCATGTCTCTATAGTGGGTCGATCCAAGAATCTACTTAGATAAGAAATTGCGTAGCCAATATCAGGTCTTGTTGTTGTAGTTAAATACACAAGTCCCCCAATTAATTCACGATATGGAACATCTTCTAGTATCTGACTGTCTTCGTTATATTGAAATCCTTTCTGGAGTTCTTTTTGGATTGCATTGTTCCATATTAAAGTTGACTAAAAGTTTTTCTATGAATTTTGTTTGGTCAATCTTTATCTTGTCTTCTGATCTCGTTAAATTCATTCCCAAAAAATTCTTGATTTTCCCAAGATCTTTGGCTTGGAAATATTGTTTCAAAAGTTTCATAGTCTCTTCTACATCTGTGTCCTTTCCTAGTAGTAGCATGCTATCTACATAGATAATTATCCATACTTTTTGAATATAATATAAACAACAATCATGTCTAGATCTAGTAAAGTTATTTTTAGTCGCAAAATTATTAAAGGTGTCGTTCCAAACTGTAAGTGATTCTTTCAGCCCATGTAACGCTCTATTATATAGGTGTATTACACTTCAATCCTGTTGGTGCATAAATATAGACTTCATTTTCGAGAATCCCATTCAAGAATGCTGTAGGTATATCCAGTTGTCTTATGTTCCCAGTTACGTTGTAGTGCTATTGAAAAGAGGATTCTAATCATCGATGTTCTTGCAACAGGTGAGTAGTTTGGTTCAAAAGGATCCTCCTCCTTGATCTGAAACCCTTTTGCTACCACTCTAGTTTTAGTTCCATCTTTTTTCATCCTAAAAACCCATTTTGTTTGTATAGCTCTTTCTCTGTTTGGTAAATCTGTTTCTGTCCATGTTTTCAGTTTTTCATGTGAATCTTGTTCTTTTTTAATAGCAACTTTCCATTCTTTGCAATTTACTGCTTCTTCGTACTTAACTGGATCTTCTTCACTTGCTGATATTAAGCAGTATGCTGTATAAATCTCATATTCGGTTAAATGTCTTGGTTGAGTGATTTTTCTACCTTTGGCTGTTGTCTCTGTTCTTGGTAAACATTCTTCAAAACTTTCTGAGCTTGAACTCTCTGTATCTTCATTTGATTCATCTTCTGTTATATTTTGCTCTTGTATTTCAATTTCAATTTCATTTATTCCTCCTTTTAAGTCATGTTCACTTTCAATATCTTCTATTACTTGCCTGAACTTTTCTGGTTTCTGATTTTTCTTTATTTTGTCATAGTTGATTGTCTTCTCATCAAATCTCACGTCTCTTGAACAGAAAATCTAATTTTCTTCATGATTCCATAGTCTGTAACCGGCTCCAGTATATCCTACATGTATACATAGTTGTGTCCTTTCTAGTTTACTCTGCCTTGGTAAGATTACTGCCCACGCTTGGCTTCCAAAAACTCTAAATTTAGATATATCATTCTTACCATACCATCTTGAAGCTAGAGTTTCTCCGTTATTTGCCTCTGTCGGTGTCCGGTTTAGCTCATAAGTAGAACACTGAATAGCTTCAACCCATAACTCTCTAGGTAGGTTCGTTTCCACAAATTTTGTTCTGACTTTGTCCAATAATGTTCTGTTCATTCGCTCTGATGCGCCATTCTCTTGCGGTATATATGACATTGTATATTCCAGCTCAATCCCTTTCAATCTGCAAAATTTTTTAAATAAATTTGACGTAAATTCTACCTTTATTTTATTCTTTTCGTTTTTAACCCATGTTGTGTTTTTATTAATTTTATAAAGTCAATCAAGTTTTGTTCCCCTTCGCCTTTATTTTTCAAAAGTTTAATGACCAAAAAATGAGAATAATCATCAAGCAAAACTTGAAAGTATCTATGCCCTTCAGGCGTTGGCGTTTGTAAAGGACCTGCAATGTCCGAATGTATCAACTCACCAATCCTAGCCTAGCTGTCGTCTTTTCTTTACTATAAAAAGGTTTTCTAGTGCCGTTGCCCTCTACACATGTACTGCAAATCTCTGAACTGTATATGGCAAGCCTAACTTACTTAGATTATGCCTATTTGTATGCCCTAACCTTCTATGCCAAATATTTTTATCTAAATTCTGCTCTATACTTTTCTCTCCTATAGTTTTGAGTCTTGAAATCTATGGTTAAAACAAACAAATCATTGCGTGCCTTGCAGTAAAAATGTAAATTATTTTTAGACAAAATTGCCTTCTTTATTCCTGACCCTGACTCGCTGCAAAAACTAACTTCAAAATCATGCTCACAGATAATAAATTATGTGTCATACCTTCAATAATCAATGCTTCAATGGTTATTTCTTTTCCTTGACAAACCCCCCTCAATTTACCTTGCTTGTATCCATACAAAACTTCATTATTTTTTCCTGTGCCGATCTTCACGGTTGATATTTCCTTGACATTTGACATATACATTTCCCGAGACATTTCCATTTCTCCCATAACCATGTGCTATGTACACCCTGAGTCTAGAATACAATCTTTTATACTTCTTGCCTGATTTTCTGTGTTGCTATTCAACGCAATGAAGGCTATTTTTTCTGTTTGTCTGCTACGTGACTGCTTCCATCTCTGTTTTCGTTCTGTTTGTAACCTTGACCTCGTAGCTGCTCTTGCTGCCCTCGGTTATTCTGTGAATAGCCTCTGTTATAAACCTCTACGACCTCTGAAGTTTTCTCTTGATGTATTGCCCTGTCTGCACTCAAAAAACTTATGTCCTTGTCTTCCACATCTATAACATGCAAACGACATTTCAGTGTTGCTATTGCTCTGGCTTTGTTTATTTTTAAATTTGATTTCTTCATCTAACAATCTAGCCTTCACAAAATCCATTTTTATGGCAGCGTTCATTGTCTCAATTGCAGTTATTATCTTCATTCAATGAAAGCAACCAACAGATGGCCAGGGGCGTCGCGGTCGGGGGGGTACTGGGGGTAATTACCCCCCCCCAGGATCGAATTATCAAGAGAAAAATCACGATGCCAAAAAGAAAATACATACTATATTGAAGAAAATACATTTTTGTTTTGTTTTATTTTCCTCACAAATGACATAATTGTTCTGGAGAAGTGAATGACCTTGAAATTTGCAAAAAAATTTACCTGCGGCGCGTTTTTGGAGGGCGCCCGTCAGCCCCCCGTACCATTTACCCCCCCCCCCCCCCCCAGACTACTGGTCATGCGTCGCCACTGCAGATGGCATACCTTATCTTCTTCCTCCATCTTTCCTGAACCAGCATGTCCCAAGTCTCTTATTAGAGTGTCAAAAATAAGAAAATGATCTTCTAATTTATCACCTCTTTTTAACTTTAATGTGAGTAACTTTCGCTTTAAAGTCAGCTTGGTAAATACACTTTTTCTTTCAAATACTCCAAATTCATTTTTTTTGGTGTCATCTGTGTAGTCATTCTCGGTTTTTTCAAGTGCCTCGGATATTTGTCGTTCTTCTAGCAGTGTGTGTACCCTGAATTTCCAGTTGTTGAAGTTTGTGGAAGTTGTTAACTGTGGCAAATTCACCACTGAGCTACTCATTTTTTTAGCTTACTTTTTCAGCCTTTACTTAACTTCTTATGTTTCTTCTACTTTCTTGCTTGGCCCATAACCTATTACAGTATCTGGGGGGTTGATTTACGTCTTTTATGATAGTAAACTCCCAACTAATTACTTGAATCATTTTATTTTATTATAAAATATAAACGTGAGTTACAAAACATTTATTGAGGTTACATGTTACATTATTATCTAGGTTATGTTACTATTGCATATTCTTGATAGGCGCTTCCACTTTCAGTAAACTGAATTACTCTAACATTATTTCCCTTGAAGTTCCTACTTTTATGAGTTGGTCACTGAGTTGTTGATGAAATGGATCCTTTATATTAACGGGTTCGTCGTCGTTCACTCCATATATTCCCAAGATTGTTATGTCTCCTACCAGGTCTAATTTTTGAGGGTTCTTCGAGGATATTTCAAAAAGGAATATGATATGAATACTATAATTTTTGAAGAATACTGCATCTATGTGTGTGATTCTGGATCCGCGGATTCAGGTACTGAATTATTAAAGCAATGACCTTTTCAACACCTTCTTGTTGAGTTTTTAATCTGAAACTTCATTCAACTTAAGGGATGATCCTGCCTTGTAGTGTCTTCGTCTTGAAGGAGTTGCCTTTTAGGAATGGATTGGACTTTAGATAGAACATCAGAATTGGTGTTTGTATGTGAAACTCTTCTAGTTTCATACACGCTATATATCTAACTACTTCTGGAGCTGGTGGACTTTCATGGCAAATAGTCATTGGAGAGATTGGGGCGGGCAATCTGACAGTATTTTAAACTTTCTTCCAAAAAAGTAGAGCTCAAAGTGCTTAATGGCCCAGATTATGGGTAGCATCTCCTTCGAATCTTATTCAGATGGACTGAGTGGCCATTTTCGAGATAAACGCAATTTGAGATATATCTATCACATAAAGTTTCTTATCTTCTTATTCATTTCCTCCCAATTTGTACCCATAACTACTCAGAACTTCTTCACTTTACTTCAATTCGCATTTCACTCTCTGGTGCCTTTTTATCCTACTGGACTCTTCGTGTCTCAAACTCTATGAAGGAAGACTGATCTGTGGAAAATCTCGTCTCCGCCGTTTTTAGAGTCGGCAGTAAATCTCTGTGTAGCGGACTTTAATCGGTTTATTGGCAAGAAGTATCGGTTAATTTCAAAATTTAAACCCTTCATGTATGTCAAATACATGTGACTTTCGTAGAAACAAAAGTCACATTCAAAGCTCTACTTAGATGAAATATCCCTTAAGTGATAGCCGTGCAAATGGCCATGAAAGAACTTTATGTTTTATTATTGTTTTATTTTCCAGTGTTCCAAACGATAATAGCAGTAAGCTGTCCGAAAACGAATACCCTACCATCAGCACCAGATCCATGAAAACGACTTACTCCGGAGGCTCAGAAGTTCACTCAAATGCAGACAACGAAATGGGTTCCAATGTTAAACTGGTTACGGCGAAAGTTGAAATGGTAAGTAAATTAAATTTGATCCAAATAATTAATATGAAACCAAAAACACAGCCATAAAAATGGTGACACATTAAAAGTTACCTCAAATTTTGCAATATTTAACAACAAACATAAAAAAAACCAGTAAATAATAATGTTTGGCAAACGTTAAATGTTTAACAACGCTTATCAGCAATTACCATCTGAATTGCGGTGCTAAATTTGAATATTGCGAACTAATTAAAATGGTAAACAATATGCTGCTACTATAATATTGAGTCAAGTTTCTCATGCATTAATGAGAAAGGAAGCGAATATTTTTCTTTGTATATTGTCGCAATCTTGGCAAAAATTGGGTTGAATTGATAATATAGATTTGATTAGTTTTCCTCTTACATAATTCCAGTATTGTAGATCTTAACAACGGCCACAAAGCGGAACAAGGAACTGATTATTTTTTCAACCAAAGTTAATTAAGTGGTGCTTATAGATTTTTGAATTAAGTATTGTATTGATTTAGCTCTTCTTTTAATATTTTTGAAGGTAAAAGTTAAATCTTTGAAAGAAATAGTAAAACTGAAACAAAGCAAGTGTTTTTTTTTATGATGGTCATCAAAAAAGGCCTCAAATTTAATTAACTCTACGTTAATTTAACAAAACTGTGTCATGTTGTGGATTTCTTTTCAAAGCAATTAAAGATAATGGTTGCACTTTTCAGTAATTGCGGCCCGGTTTTTGATGAAAGGCGTCATTATCCTTGTATAGATCAAATACGTCTTGGACAATTCTTTTATTGTCGATTAAGGTAATGAATGAAGTTGTGTGAAGAAGTATAAATTATACGATTTTAAGTGAAAAATTTTGATATGAGTGCACCCAATCGCTGCGCTGGTATCTCTGGTAGTGCTTCCTAACATTTCTTCTTTTTTTTTTTAAATAAAATCCTTCAAATACAAAGGTTTTTTTCTTGACCTTGGCGGTCTTCCAACTTGGCTATCTAAATTATAATCCTACAGAACTGCTTTATTAGAACTGGCACTATCTTCTTGCTAGTCAATATTTTTGTCAGTATTGGTATCACCTGTTTTATATTCTATTGAATTGTTATTATCTGGTATATTTTCAACGATTATTCTCTGTGTCTCAAGGCCTGACATGGTCTATATTATTGATTAAAATTCATGTAATTAAACCCCTAATTGTTGCAAGTCACCTCGGACGAGCAAAATTCTCTCCTACGCTTGTTTTGGGCTCCATCTCTCTCACTCTTGACGGGCTCCAACGCACCTGTATATCGTTGTGTTTTCAAGTTTTTATCTCAGTGGAAAATTCCCTAGCTGCTAGTGCAAATAGTGATAAATGGATAAATAATCGCCTTGTGGTTTATCTGGATGAACCGGAATAAGCAAGTAAGACCGTTACAATTTCTCTAACAGTCGAATAATAAGTTAATAAATACTGATTAGTGATTCGCTTGAAATGCACTATAAATTGAAGTGTTTTCTAACGTTCAATGCAGAAATTTGGTTTTCACACTCGTGAAATTAACATTTGTACATTTGTATATAGAAACTGAGCATATAAAAAGACTTTTCTTGCACGTATTGTTTACAGACTTCAGCAGAAAAGTGCTCAAATTGTTAACTCTCAATAAATAGAAGAACTTTCAAGGATAAATAAACATTTTGTGATTGCAGTGAACTGATTGAAGTTGACGAATTATTTATGTTGTGCTCTCGTGCATTTAATTAGTTAATTTGGGTTCACGTTCATTGAACATTTAACCATAAATGATATTATTATCATTATCAGATTTCCCTACTTTTTATAAATCAAGAAAACTTACTTTAGATTAGTATAAAATTTTTAGTTCGACTGGACGTCCAATTAGGAATTTTTAGATAGGATTTGATTGATAACCATACCGAATTACTTTCATTTATTAATTAAATTGATAACTGTTCTATTTCAGCGTTTTATTTGTATAAATGAGAATCAAGGCACCTCTAACCTAATACAAGGCTTAAGCTTACAGTCAGTCAAAGTAAAAACTTTTGGCATCCCTGGTGCGGTTTGACTAAAGCCCAAAAAGGGGCATTAGCTAGTTCCGTCACAAACGTGTTGTTTGAAAATGCTGCTGCAGTGTGCCAAATGTAATTCACAATGCCTACTTAAGCGTAGGCCGAAGGATGGCGAGACTCTTGGAGCGAAATGTGATGAGTGTGAAGTCAACATCTGTAAAATCTGTGCAGGTCTGGGATCATCCGAATGTGACAGCCTAGAAGCAACCAACAGGCAACTGATTTTTCTATGCGACAACTGTAAGAGCATAGGAAGGCAGATGAAAAATGAAAATGGAAAAATCAGAGCAGGGGAATGCGAGAAAAATAGTTTTTCTGAGATTGTTAAGGAATGTCAGCATTTTTGACTGGTTGACAGGTCGCAAAACCCAATATTCTGGTATTTTAATTATGTTTCAATAGTTGCTAAGGAATCAATAAATAACAATACGAGAATCACTTTTCCGGCCTAGGCCGGGAAAGTGATTCTCGTACTGCTGAACAATTGGAACAAAAATACAAACGTTTAACAGATATTTAACCGATCTCAGAAAAAATAGTATTTGTATTTCGGTGGAAAAGCACATTCTCGGGCTTCGGTGTTTGCCGGCCTCGGCTACGTCTCGCCCGTCAACTTACAACGTCGGCCGAGAATGTGTCACTTTTCCACCTAAATACACAATATACTATTGATTTAGTCTATGGAGAGGGAGCATACAGCAAAAATTAATATACTTGAAAGCTACTTAGAAGTTTTGTAGGAAAAATGCAGAGAAAAAGGCAAAAAAATATTTGTACTTACCAACCAAATTGAAGACAATGAAGAAAAATATAACACCGAAATACAACACTTAAGAGACGAAATAGAAAGTAAAGAAATTTATATACAGAGAATGACGAGAAATTCGAGTGTTTTTAAATTAGAAGCAATTGAAGGCGAAAAATCCTTTGAAGCTCAAATGTATGAGCAAAAACGAATTATAATCGATCTGAATAGCAGACTAGAGGATCTTAATGAGAAAACCAAAAATTATTAAGAGAAAATGCAGAGAAAGCTGAAATGGAAGCGCAACAAAACGAAGACAGAGTCAGTCAAAGGACAAGATAAGTGGGCTGTTGGACAGGAAGACTGTGGATGAAGAGGAGTTACTAAGAGCTAAGAAAGCTATCACTACGATAAAGAAGAAAGAACTAAAACTAGAAAATGATGTTACAGATGTGACAGATACATTAAAGGATAAAATAATCAAAACTGAATAAGAGAATAAATTCTTACCTTGGATATTAGTATCAAGGAATATTCAGAGGAAGTAGGTACAGATCATAGAAAAACTTGAAAACGAATTGCAAGACGGGAAGAACGGAAGTCAGAAAATGGTATAAACAATTCGAATCCTTGAGGACGAGAATAATAGATGTGAGAAAGAGCTATGTGACCTGAAGGTGGAGCATGTGAAGAAATTTACAACAGAAAACAATAAGCCAAAACAAGAGAAATCGGGAAACGTAGGTAGGAAAGCAGAACGAAGGGAACATATACAGTGTGCGCCATAAAGTTGGGTACCTATGGGAAAAATCTTAATTATTCCTTTTTTCAAAAAACTTTTTTTGGGGATCGTTATGGCATGTTCGATAACCAAAAAATCGATTATGACACATGTCATGTTATTTTTCTGATGACCAGAAAATGTGCAAAAAGGGATATGGGTACAGTTATAGCGACACGACCGGACGGTATTTTCTAATTTATGCCCTTCAAGTGTGTATTTCGCAAAACAATCGATTCGTTTGATATCAAACTTATGTAGTTTAGTTGAATAAGGCTATTTTTGAAATAAAATTAATATTTTCGATTTTCCATTTAATGGTATGGGTAAAATAAGTAATTTTATTTTTTTTTCTCTGATTTGCTTCAAAATCGGCATGTGAAGTTCTTTTTGGATTCTGAACAACTTTTTCTTATAATTTTTTTTGATATCTTGTCAAATTTACCCGTTTTTCGACATCAATATCAATTTTTTTCAAAATTCTCGCTTAACCGATATGCGCATGACATGTGTCATAATCGATTTTTTGGTTATCGAACATGCCTAAACGATCCCCAGAAAAAGTTTTTTGAAAAAAGGAATAATTAAGAATTTTCCCATATGTACCCAACTTTATGGCGCACACTGTATATAATGACAAATACCATTAAACCAAATACTGTGCCAAATAATACTTATGTAAAGAAACTCGAGACAGCAATAAAGTAACTCAAAACAAAACAAAAAACGCACAACAAATTATTAGCAAGAAAGCCCGCATTACAAAATCAAAAAGCAAATTATTATTTCTAACAGATGGATAAGGAAGATTCATATACGAATACCTCCAGCATCACCTGGGAAATGAGTGTGCATTTCAGGTAGTGTCCAAGCACAGTTGTATTAAAGAATTTTCAAACACCTTCTTTGTTGTCCTATTTACTAACTTGGTTTCTTATACATCTCCAGTATAACAGCGAGTATTCATCATCATGTAGTATGTAGTCACAAAACTTAATTTTTATTCCAAATCAAAATATTAGAACACAGTTGGGAGGTAAGTGGGTCGAGAACACACTCACCTGGAATGATGTTAGCTTCGATAGCAATAATGATGAAAACGCAATTGCAAGTAATTGTTTCCGCTGGCCGATGCCAATACCAACTTCCAATATAACATTCAATTCCAGAACTCACGTCTCTAATTGAAAAAAGCAAAACATGCCTTCCACAGCTAAAAATCCGTGCCAATCTAAACTTCAATAAACGTCTAAAGAAATATAATTTATTTATTTTCAATTTAAAAGGATTGATGAATAAGGTTAACGAGTTCGAGTTCTATCTACTGCTTCTCTCGGAGTACTGGCTTACCGAGGGGGGCCCTCGGGCACTGGCTTAATGAGGGGGAGCCTGGAGCTCTGCAGAGCTCCAGGCT